GTCCTCGGCTTCTTAGTTGGTAGTGCAGGGACCTTGAAGCCACCAGCATCGACCTTTGACCCGCTGCCATTGAGCTGTGTGAAAGATCCACCTTTGAACCATCGATCCTCGTCGGCTTTGCGTTTGCGGTTCATCTCTTCTCTGATCTTCGGGTCTACGAGCTCGAGGCCCTGTACAGGCGTAAATGCAATCGAGTTCGTTCCCGCACCACCCAGGCCCACACCACCAGTCCGAAGGCCTTGAGCGCGTAAGCTGGTCGCAGTACCACCAGCACCGAAGCCTTTAAGCGAAGAAGCAGCGCCCAGCGTAGTATCACCGCCCCAACCAGGGTTCTTTTTGGAGAGTTTAGCACGCGTTTTGGGATCAATCTGCTGTGCGCGAAGACGGCCCGTGTCTGTGGCGCCGATCATGCCCATACCCTTTACTGAGTCGCCATACCCGACTTCCTTTTCTTCTTTTCCGAATGCCATTCTGTTTTGTGCTTTGCGAATTTCGGTCATGGCTGTTGCTTCCTTTGCTTTCCTCGCCCTTCGCCCACCACGTTTTCGGCTCGGTTTGTCATCTGGAGCAGGTAGGGCGCGGACACCTTTGTTTGCGGGTATTTCTGTGAGCTTATCAAGACGCCGTTCGCAGTCTTCTTTGAGTTGTTGACCGGTGGAGCCGTCAGGAGCGGAATGCACCATGTCAACGCGGGCAGCGAGAATGACTTTTGCGGAAACAATGCGCATAGCTTGTTTTTTTAGGTCTTGTCGTATGGCTTGAAGGATGGGGCTGTTATAAAGGAAACCTTGATGTCGAATGCCCACGTTAGTTGCGAGTCCGAGGCCGCTTGCTTTGTTGGAACCTAATGGTGCAATATTGCATGCAGGCGTCTTTGCTAGACCAGCGAGACCTCCAGCATAGTTGATGAACTGGGCAGCGGTAAGTGAGCCGACGAGCGCGGTGAGATTCGGGGCGAAGACATTCATGCGCGACTGCACATATGAAGTAAGAGAACCCTTCGCTTTATCGAGGTTGAGGAGCAGTTTGCATGCATTAACGATCATGTCGAGTTCCGCATCACTGAGATCACGGCCCTGGGCTCGAGTAGCTTCGACTGTGACGACCATGAGCGATGGCGCATCCAGAATGCTCTTCAGTGGTACCCCAACAACATTGTCTGCACTTTGTGCAATCGCCTTGATGTCGTTGAGAGGGCCATTTTTTAAGATCGCGACAGTCTTTGCATAATCGACGGGATTCTTGATAAGCTCTTCAAGGTATGGGAAGCGCAGAGAGTAGTTGTCGCGAATGAACTTGTGCACGGCCGCAATCTCGCCGTCGATCTGTGTCGAATACTCATTTGCCTCTTTCAGCAGCTGATACTCTGGATTGTCCTCGATCGATTCGCCATCCATGACTTCTTCCATGCGGTCCTTGACCTCGTCGATCTGCTGCAGTACTGGTTCAAGGTTGTCCATCAGGCTTTGCGCGCCACGAATATCTGCCGGACCCTTTTTCTTCTTGTTCTGTGCTGCCGCATATTCTGCCTCTTCGTCTACCATAGCCTCGTCCTCGCCATCTGCCTCTGGAGACTCATCTCCTCCAGCGAAATCATTTTCCAAGTCCGCAACATCCTCATCCCCAGAATCGGCGAAATCAGCCATGAGCTCCTGTTCTAGTGTCGCCATCTTGTGATAGTATTCGTCCCTTAATCACTGAATTGTGAAATGTATCCTAGTATGTGCAGTTGTTACACCCGTGATGGTCTTCGCACGAAAGTCGCAACGGCGGCCAGAGGTTACCCTCCTAGTGAAGTTGGGTTGAGTGTTGAGCTCTGACAAGCACAATGATATACGTACCTTTGCCTGATGTGGCCGCCGGCAAGGAATGTGGGGGGTGACAAATCTTGGGTGAAGTGACCTTGTATGTAGGCGCGACCGCGGTGATATAAAGTGTAGGGCTTGGCATGGAGATACTGCCAGGCGGTAAGGACGGCGCGCATGAAATTCATACCCAAGCTTCCACCAACGTCCTTCAACCTCAACGAGGCGTAGCTGGCGTTTCTTCCTAGGTTGGGTTACGCGCCGTCCTCAGAAAATCCATACCTTGCATTAAGCCTTCTCGACTCCACCCACGATATCACGATGGAGACACGAGGACCTCCGCGCGTCAAGAACAAGGCGGCCGCGCCCATCCAGATCAGCGCCGAACAGCTGCTCCGCGAAGCTGTCGACCGTCAAGATGAAAAGCTCAAAGCGCCTACACAGCGTTTCGCTGACCTTGAGGAGCTACACGAGTTCCAGGGCAGGAAGAGAAAGGAATTTGAGGACTATGTTCGCCGTAATAGGATCAACATGAATAATTGGATGCGCTATGCGCAGTGGGAACTCGAGCAGAAGGAGTTCAGGCGTGCGCGATCCATCTTCGAGCGAGCACTGGATGTTGACAGCACAAGCGTTGCCCTATGGTTAAGGTACATTGAAGCCGAAATGAAGACGAGGAACATCAACCATGCAAGGAATCTGCTGGATCGCGCCGTTACCATACTCCCGAGAGTCGACAAGCTATGGTACAAGTATGTGTACATGGAAGAGACACTTGGGAATATTGATGGCGCTCGCTCAGTCTTCGAGCGGTGGGTGCAGTGGGAGCCAGAGGAGGCAGCATGGTCATCGTACATCAAGCTGGAAAAGAGACATGGCGAATTCGAACGAGCTCGAGCTATCTTTGAACGCTTCACAGTCGTACATCCTGAACCCAAAAATTGGATCAAGTGGGCCAAGTTTGAGGAAGAGAATGGAACCAGTGATCTTGTACGGGACGTGTACGGTACCGCAGTAGAGACTCTTGGAGATGATTTCATGGACGAGAAGCTATTCATGGCGTACGCCAAATTTGAGGCGAGATTGAAGGAGCTAGAACGAGCACGAGCTATCTACAAATTCGCTCTCGATCGAATGCCCCGTTCAAAGTCTCTAAATCTGCACAAGGCCTTCACTACATTCGAGAAGCAGTACGGCGATAGGGATGGTATAGAAGATGTCATTCTGTCAAAACGAAGGGTGCACTATGAAGAGCAGGTAAAGGAGAACCCCAAGAACTATGACGCCTGGATCGACTTTGCGCGATTGGAAGAGACATCCGGGAATACTGATCGTGTACGAGACATTTACGAGAGAGCCATTGCCCAGATACCACCCACACAAGAGAAACGACACTGGAGACGATACATCTACCTATGGTTGTTCTACGCCGTTTTCGAGGAGACAGTCTCGCGAGACGTTGAACGCACGCGACAAATATATCAAGAATGCATACGTCTACTTCCTCACAAGCGCTTCACATTTGCCAAAGTCTGGTTAATGTTTGCCCACTTCGAGGTTCGACAGAGCCAACTAACAACCGCAAGGAAATTATTAGGTCAAGCAATCGGCATGTGTCCGAAAGAGAAGCTGTTCAAGGGATATATTGAGCTGGAGATGAAACTCTTCGAATTCACTCGGTGCCGCCAGCTCTACACAAAGTATATCGAGTGGAATGGGGCTAATTGTCAAACTTGGATTAAATTCGCCGAACTCGAGCGTGGGTTAGACGATCTCGACCGTGCACGCGCTATCTTCGAACTAGCTGTTGAAGAACCTCAATTGGACATGCCGGAACTGCTCTGGAAAGCATACATCGATTTTGAGGAAGGTGAAGGCGAGTACGAACGGACCAGGGCACTGTACGAGCGCCTACTGCAAAAGACAGATCACGTCAAGGTCTGGACTAGCTGGGCGCAATTCGAAATAGGCGTTCCAGACAGCGATGACACTGAAGTAGCGGATGATGAAGATCGTCCTGTTACTGAATCTGCCAAACTTCGGGCTCGTGCCATTTTCGACCGCGCACACAAGCGTCTCAAAGACAAGGACCTTAAGGAGGACCGCGTCGCACTACTCAACGCGTGGCGCTCTTTCGAAGCCATCCACGGTTCCAAAGAGGACCAGCAGAAGATCGAGCAACAGATGCCCAGAAAGGTCAAAAAGAGGAGAAAACTGGACGACGATTCTTTCGAGGAATATGTGGATTATGTATTCCCAGCTGACGACGAGAGTGCGGCAAAATTGGCGAAACTCATGGCAAATGCTCAGAAATGGAAACAAGCCCAGGCTCAAGCAGCAAGTGGACAGAATGGAGATTAATATGGGGGAAGGAAGGAGCGGATGTATCTGTATTTTACTCAGCTATTACCAACAAAGTTGGTTATCAATCGTACTTGACACAGCTGTCCGGAATCTATAATAATGATTCTTCCCTGTCTTTATTCCGTAGTGAGCTTTTCCTATCTCATCGCTACCGAGAGGTTACTCCTTGGGCACTGTCACAGCTTAGTATAGCTGGATTCATAACTGTTTCGAACCACTTTGTTGCATCCACTTGGGACTATAAACTTTCCAGGTACCTCTCTAAGCACCATGCAGATTTCACAGGACCCCGCGGAGTCCTCCTCGATCAGTAGAAATGTACCAAACCGGTTTGATTACTTAAGTTGTATACGTCTTATCCAGACATGCGGAATCGCTGTCCTTAGCTTTGACCCACAATGTACGTAGTGGTGATACTACGCTCTTTGAAACTAGCAGGTCGAAATAATGGTTCCGAACTAAAGGACGTAGTATAGATTGGTTTTATAGTACATCGAAATATTTTTCGCTGGCGCAGATGGACATCCTTGAACATGGAAAAAGACAGCAACACTCACATATAGGATAGAATAGCCTGAAAACCTTCACATCCTTTTCTCAAACTGTAACCTATGCACCAAATACCTTGAAGCCATCCAGGCCTTGTTCTAAGTAGCGCGAGGGTCCTTGAAGATGAGATCGTACAGATGTAACACAGCCCATTAGAGGCGACAACAGAGACTGTAACGGTCCTTCTTATCATTTTCTGTGTTGATGACTAGAATATCAGCTGAATAGATGCACTGGAAACCTCTACAAGATGCCTTGGTGCCAAAATGTGCAAAAAAAGGATGGTCAGTACGAGGGTCGAACTCGCGGCCTTAGCGTATCAAGCAGAAGCTATTAGCACTACGCTCTAACCAACTCTGGTACAGTATTAGTATCTTGCGGCTAGTGGTGGTTGGTGGGAGTGAACGTACGAGCTAACCGACCGTGTTGCTTCACGTGATTGAAAGCTCTGAGGATTGAAACAGTTATCATCTTGCAACGAAAAAGGGGAGTATGACGGTACCAGTGAGCGGTAAACTACGGATACGATTATGGTAGGGATTGTGAATAAAACTGCTTTCTGGTTAACAGCGGAAGAAAGGTGGGGGGAAGGAGATCAACTATCCAAAATTCTGCACGCTAATTTGCAGTATCTTTTCATATCTGAACAGTCATATGTGGAAACTCATGTACAGCTACCGGGAGTCACCCAGCATCATCTTCTAGAAACCTAGGGCTTTGACACCATCTTCGAATGAAATAGGTTCGTCCACAGAAGCCATAGGTCGACCCCACTTCACAACTCCCCTCTCGTCAACTGCATATGACCCTCCAACTTGCCATCGGCAGCCGCCCTCGCCTACTCCTTGCTGTCCCCAAACGCCCTCATTCTTGCCTAGCATGTACTGGTTATAGCCATTTCGAGGATTGAGGACATGTCCCCAATTTGAGATGCCTAGCCCCCATAGCGCATATATGTCTCGGTTCTGGTCGACTATAATATCGACGTTCCAGGCTCCGCCGAGTTTCCTCAGCCACTCGTCTGTCGCTTGCTGCGTGCAGTGTGATACGGCAATGAAGTGGATCGAAGTATGTCGGTTCGCGAGACTACGTAGTTGCAGGAAAAGCTTCTCTGTGACTGGAGATTGTTAGTGCATATTTTCGGGTCTTCAGAGAGCCACCGGAGACCATGGGCTTAAAAAAGTGGAGTACTCACATGGACAGCCACAGAATCTTAGGAACAATATCACGCATGGTCGTCCATCGAGCGCCGGAAACTTGAGCTTCGCGTTTGTCTGCGCCCTCTCACCTATTATCGGCGGCTCACGAACCGGAGTTTGAGGCGCTGGAGGGGTCGTCCACGATGCGAAGGCCTTTGGAACGCCCCATTGAACATTGGCGAAGGGGTTAGCGAAGCCTCCATTTCCTGCTTCGCCATCTGGTGTGCCTTTCGTATTACCACCGGCAAATAAGCCATCCGTCTTTGGTAGGGAAAGATTGCCCAATCCGGCTCGTTGTAGGGCGATTTTAGTGCCGAGTTTATTGAACATGCTGGCGGTAGTGTCGGCGCATGCGTGAGTTGACTGAGGGATATTGCACGATCGGACCGGTAGATATCGAACTATGTCGAGAGACGTCGTGCCGAATGTCAAAGAAGCGAACAATGAGGGGAACTGTGGAGTTGGCGAGTGCTCGGGGATGCCGACATGATCTGGCAGGAATGGCTGACTCTTGTAGCGACGAGGCGTTGCGGTCGTGCAGCTGAAAGCTGAAACGTAGGATGTCGCACGGACGCGACGACTGATAGCTATGGAAACCAGACCACTCGGCTGCTTGCCTTTTTTTGTGGGAGGATTTTAGCATCGAGCAATCGCAGGTCGGAGAAAAGACGACTCGTTCGTCACTTGTGCCGGCGACAACATCAATGACGGCATTGCGATGGTGTTGTCTTGGATAGCAGTATGAAACGCGATGTCACGTTTTCAGGGTCGGTCTAGACTTTTACCATGCAAACAAGGTCCCCGCCATCCACGACCACTGTTTTGTAACTGGCACCACAACAAGCATAATGTACAGCGTATATTGCGACATAGGAGAATAAGTTTGGATATGGTATCATCTTAAACAAGACAATAAATGACAAAAACACGCGAGCCGGGTATCCCTTAATCACAAGCGCCAGTGCAACAAATATCTTTTTGCATCCATGCATCTCCCTTCCGATGTCTGTGGCCACTTCCGCAACACCGTATGCAATATGATTTCGGACAGATCCGATAGCGCTCAACTTTTGTACGCGAAGATTGCTTTGCACTCGAACACGGTTTGGCGCTCAAGGCACTCTCGGACAATCTCCTTGTTTTCCCACCACCACTTGGGCTCATCTGGAACATCGTCGACAAAATCGCCCCAGATGTCCTTCCAGAGAGACCGTCCAATAATAGTTGAAAGCTCTTTGTCAACGTCGGATGAGGTCTGGTCGAAAGCACAAGGTAGGGTCACGTTTTGGTCGCCCTCTGGAGCAGTCAATTCAAATCCGGCATCCGTAAGCCAGCTCGGGACAAGCAAGCAAGGCTTCGAGCAGCGAAACAATCTCTCGAGGCTGACAGAGAGCCTATCCTCGATCCATGTCCTCATCAACGGGCCAGCGGTTTTGCGTAACGGTGCTGCATCCATGATCCTAATTTCCAATAGTCCTCCAGGCGCGAGAAGCTTATAGCATTCACGGAACAGCTCAGGTAATTTCGCGGATGGAACCAGGGATGGCAACGTCGATGCTCTTATGTGGGTAAAATAATCCTCAGGGTAAGGCAAGGGAACTGCACCGAATTCACGAACCGTCAGGTACGACACATTACCAGGAAGCGGGATTGGTCGTTGAGGCTTGGTAGTGAGGAAGTGCACCGTTTGAGACGGATGCATAGCCGACAATTGGTACACCTCAGCTAGTGTCGATTGTTAGACGATACACAACAGAGCAGCTTAGGTGCACGACATGAACTTACAGAGATTACCATACAGCTCCAGGATCCTACCCGTGTTGCATTTAGGCTTCGGAGCGATCCGAACATTGCCTAGATTCTGCATTTGGAATCCTGTTAGGAGCCAAAGCTGCTTTTCGAGAGCAAGCTGGTACATAATTAGCGGATAACCCTGCGTGAACGATGGAGAAATATCATACCTCTTCATCTGCTTCTTCGCCCCCAGTTTCTTGCCATTCTTCCTTAAGTCGGTCAAGGACGATCTTAGGACCAGCGCTTTCCATTCTGCGAATGAAGCGTTGAAAGCGAGTGAGCTCGACAGTACTACTGTGCGCGACAGCGACGGTAGTGACGACCGGCTTAGGTGGCAGTTGCATCACTTTGGGTACGTCTCGAGGAGTGAGACAGTCCCATTGCGACAACGGCCTGCATAAAAATCTTGCATCTGAACCATTGCTTTCAAATGAAGTATGCTTTACCTCTTCTAAGGATCTTCTATCCCGGACGGCATCATGCATTTCCATATCCTCTATGCTTAAAGTGCCCTCAATTCTCACCGGTGGTGGTCTTCTACAGACGGTGAGCAGGGCATGGAACAGTGGAGGCTGGCTACTTACCTTCTCACTCTCTCTATAACAGGACTTGGGGCAGCTTCGTAATCGTCAAGTTCGGTGGCAGCTGAGTTTACCATTGTCTTACTTGTCGCGAAAGACCCTGGACTTGTTTGTTGTTTTTGACTTACATCATTGGAAATATCTGCTATGATGGGGGCTTTTACTTCCCATCGACGATCATCTGTTACCTTGGTTAGGACTTGTGGTAGGGGTGTGTGCGTGGCAGAAGACTTACGCGAGAAGCGTGGTTCGGTAGAATTTGTCCGTCGAGACGATGTATCGCCGTCCAGTTCAGGAACTTCATGCTCTGGTAAATCCAAAGAACCTCCAGATGGTAAAGAAGGAGAAAGCGTTGTCGAATATGTCCAGCCGGGCTGCAACGTGGGATCCTTAAAATCGTACGGGAGTTTGATATCCATTATTTCCTTGGGCGCAAGATGAACTGATTTCTGAGTAGAACTGCGGCTAGTCGACGGCCGCAGGATATTTGGCTTCATACTTTTCGCCTTCTTTAAGCCTGTGGTCCACCATAGCTCTCGATCGGCGGAAATAGAACTTCTTGAGCTTTTCACGGTTTTGATTGAGCCTGCTGTGATGGAACGCTCTCGAGCCTTCCGCTCCCTGCGCTCTCCAACCTTCTCAGTTGTCGGATCCGTCCAGGATAAGTCGGCAGTGAACATGATGGGATGAGGTTGAGAGTGGGCAGAGGGCGACCGTGCTAGAAGCCAGTGGGCCCAGGGAAGAATGAGCGAAAGACTGGAGAAAAGGCCTTGAGTTCAGACGATCGTTAAGTCCAGGCACAGGAAGATAGTCAGACACCGACCAAGGATTCGGGCGGACGTGTCGGGGCCAACAAGCGGGTTGCGCAACGGTACCTTTTACCGCCGTATCTGAGCAACAATGATTGTCGCACGTCCCGGCCATGGCGTTATTGGCCTGGCAAAGATACTTATCAGGGATTCCCAACCCCAACTCCACAGGATTACACTACTGCACCATCTGTTGTGCCCTGACGCAGAGGACTGGGGTCAACGCGCGGGCCGTGAGCAATTCGGAATGGCTCCCATGCCGCTGGGGCTTTTTGAGCGCATACGTGGTAGAAAGAACGCAGCATATCTCAAACTGACAACTCCTTGACCGCAAAAAGAAAGCCAACCGTCGTCACACCAGCACAGGCTGCCAGTTCATTGAGCGCTGTAACCCCTGGCATCTCTGCCCAACTCTTGCCAGGGATTATTGTGGCTTACTATCGCTCGTGATGGGGTGGCTTCTAGTGGTCATGGGGACTGCAAAGGGTTTACCGACTTGTGGCCGCCATGTTTACGGTGTTCAGGAGGGGGGGTGAACCATATCGGTTGGTCTTGGTGATTATCTAAGTTTATGCTTTGGGGCTGTTCCAACAAATCACACCACACTGGTACTGGACAAGGAAAGAAAATGGACTGGCGACACTGATTGACGGAACGGCGCAATATCGGCTGCCTGCATGGATGGCCTGACAAGTTACGTCCAGGGTATATGTGACGGCTCACCGGGCTCTTCGTTTCGTGGAGATGCACACGCGGGTGTCCGTGCCCTGACCCTTGCCTTCACCAGTCAGGATGCAGGCTGATCTGCATCGGTTGTTCCTGACGAGCATGACTAGGACAGAATGCCCCTGACTCGGTTCCGCAAGCCACGATGGCACAAGGCTAGATCTCGACCTCTGAGTACGAACGCAGAATTTCCACTACACGACGCTTTAACGTCGCGGAAATGGCTTGTGGCACGCTGGAGTC